ATGCCCCCCCCCCCCATGTCTAGTTCTGTCTTCTGGGATATAACACCACATAGTCCATTGAAAGTTGTGTTTTAGTGGGCTGCATGGCATTACATCCTAGAAGACAGAACCCTTCATAACCACCTCTGTGAAAACCTCAAGTTCTATATCATTTGTCATGTTTTAATTGCTTATTGCAAGTGATACTTACATTTTCTATTTTAATATCACACAGATAATAGTTACATTGCACTCACAATCTACCATGATCATTATTCTGAGAGTGAGTACTGTATTAGTTTTCAGTTACATATGTATGTATAATACCTTTGAAACCTATCCGTGTTTGTAATTTAAAAATTTTGGTGAATGTTTTTCTCTCTAAAATGTAAAGAGCCACATTTCAGGAAGGTTGCAGATTAATTATCAAGAGATTGATGTTAAGTCTGTTCTTGGATTGTTATGTGCGCAGACACACAAATGTGCATGCACACACATACACACATTCACCCTGAAGGTGGAGGCCGCATTGCCCACAATCACATGGTGTAACAATGCAAGAACAGAACCAGCATGAATAACTAACCACTGTGAAAGCCTGAAATCAGTAATATGAAGAGAGTGTTTGACGTGTTTGTGCATGCCATACATTGAGCAGGTAGTTTCAAAGGAGAACAAATGTCCTTTCCATAAGTCAGTCTGGCACCAAATGATTTCTCTGCCTGGTATGGTGTGTTCAGAGACCAAGGACTGGGGTTGGGCTGGGCAGGTAGTGTTCCATGGCTGGATCAAGTGGGCTGTTTGTGACTTTGTTGCTTATAAATTGCTGGTTCTCCTTCAAGAGGGCTGAGACCATCTTCAGCTGAATGATGATATTTAGAACCTGTATTGCTCTTGGATCTATCGTATTATTCCGGAGAACAGTTAGGGTTATCATTTACCTAAACCTGGGTTTAGTAACTATGCCTAAGCCAAATTCTTTTGTTCTATCAACCTTTCCTCTTTTCTTTTGAAAACGCTGGAGAGACTGGTGGACAGATTTATGAGGTGGAGCCTTGATGAGATACCCATTGTATCTCCATCAGCATGTATATCGGAGGCAGGTCTGTGGAGACTACCCTTCTCATTCTCCTTTATAAAGTACAGAGGATGCTAAAGTATGGGCTTGTTGCTGTAGGAGCTTTCTGGACANGGGGGGGGGGGGTACATTTGACAATACCACCTTTGGGTCCATGTGTAGGATAGTTGAGGAGCTACTACAATGGAAAAGTAGCGGCTCCAGTCTAGAAGACCGAGATTAATGGCCGTGGGAATCCATTGCTCTTTCCACATGACACCCTCTATCCACTAAAGTTGTCACTAACTTTGCCAGCAAGCAGCGGTTGCTTGGTCGGTATAGTTCACTTGCAGACTAAAGGTCACAGAGTTTGTTTTCTTTTTATGTTATGATAGTAGCACAGGCCTCATCTTGTTATGATGTTTACAATCAAAAATTCATATCACAAGACAGATGTCACCAATATGTACTAATGAAAAAAGGACCATTGTCAGTTTGTATAAGTTTGGTATATACTGTATTTTCTCTTTGTCCTTTCATATAGTAAACAGTGTCAGAGAAGGTTAGCCATGCTGTCTTCCTGTTCTGCTTTTCGATGAGCTGCCAGCATCACACAGACATATCATTTCAAGTCTGAGTTCTTCATTTTGTTGCCATAATACAGTTTTTCAAAATTCTACACCCACCACCAACTAAATCACAGTAGATATTTGATGTGACTAAACCTTAAACATGCCCCTGCATAGCTGTGTTCCATGATATCATCCAACTTGGGACAGAAAAAGTACAGGGTAAGGGGGAAGTCATATGACAAATAGAGAAAGATACTGCACAGTGCAGTGGATATCACATGATAATTTTTCTCTGGTTCAAATTTGTAGGCTGTAAGTGGACCACAGATTCTTAAATGTGATCTGTCGCCCAGACAAGGGCAGGACAGAGGAAGGGTTAATGGGACATATTGGGCTCCAAGCTATAAACAACTTTGAAAGCGAAACTACAAGTAAATTATCATCATCATTTTACTGCAATTTGGTGTTCACCTGGTGGCAGTAGACCTTACACTGACACTAACAAGGAATAGACTATAAATCAAGGGTACAATACAAAACAAATAAGGTAATGGTAAGGTTGTCCCTGTGCTTAACTAATTAAGCATTATGCCATGATGGTGAATTCACATCACTTCACTTATTTCCGTTCATTCCCCACTTAAAGCCTCTTTGTGTAAAAAAGTTATGAAGAAACAGTGCCACCTAGTTAGGAATCACACATTAAAATGAATATGCAGGAAATAGCCCTCATTTTATGTATTGGTTTTCCATATGTAAAGCATTAATAAATTGGCAATTCTAGTAGGTTTTGTCATTATGATGATGCCCTTATCAAAAGTCATAGGTACTTATTGTACTACCATTTCACTGTAATAGATTGAGGATGAGTAAATTATGATTAGAAATAGCCTAATAAGCATGTGAGTTGGGATAACGCAGTCAATATAACAACTGGCTATGGTCTGGGTGGCCAAGGTGTTGAAGTCCTGGTAGGTGCAAGATTTTTCTCCTCTGTATCATCCAGACCACTTCTGGGGCTCACCCAGCCTCCTATCCAGTGAGTACTAGGGGCTCTCTCCCCAGGGGTAAAGTTGCCGGGGCACGAAGCTGACCACTCACTTCCAACTAGTGACAAGGTCAAGAATACAGGGATCTGTATGTCCACTCCTCCATACGTGGTGTGTTCAAAAAGTATTGAACCTTCTTTTTTCCCGCATAAACCAATGAAGCGTGGGAGTCTCCCATAGGTGGAGATGTGGAGGGGACATTCATGTGCAGTCATGAATTTCTTCCCACCTGCAGAAAGCGTCAGTCGCTGGCAGTCGGCCTGTGAGTGAGGGCGTGTAGTGAGCGCTCATCGGATGCCTGTAAGATGTAAAATGACGGAACAACATGAGCAGCGATATTGCATCAAATTTTGCCAAAAGCTTGGCGATACCCAAGTGGAAGCCATTCGTAAGATTCAACAAGCTTTCGGGGACAATGCCATGAGCAACTCACGGATAAAGGAGTGGTACAACCGCTTCAAAGATGGCCGCACGTAAGTGGACAGCGAACAGCATTCAAGCAGACCCTCAGCAAGCCGAAATGAGAATGTCATTGAGCAAGTGTGGACTTTGGTCATGGAGGACCATCGTATCACAGTCCGAGAACTTGCGAATGAGATAGGGGTAAGCATTGTATCGGTACATTCAATTTTCACCGAGGATTTGGGCATGAGGAGAGTGTCCGCGAAATTCATACCAAAACTGCTAACAATGGAGCAGAAGCAACACCATCTGGAAATCGCACAGGACATGCTGGACAATGCAAACAGTAACCCCAACTTTCTGAACACTGTAATCACAGGTGATGAGTCATGGGTTTATAGGTATGACCCAGAAACCAAGATGCAGTCATATCCGACATCCCCGAGGCCAAAAAAAGCACGGCAGGTCCACAGCAATGTCAAGGTCATGTTGGCCGTTTTCTTTGACTCCCGTGGGGTTGTGCATCATGAGTACGCACCACAAGGCCAAACCATCACAAAGGAATACTACCAGGAGGTCCTTCGTCGCCTTTGTGATGCTGTGCGGCGCAAACGACCGGATCTGTGGGCAGCAAAAACTTAGCAGCTCCATCATGATGATGCACCCGCACATTCTGCGCATCTGATTCAGACTTTCATCGCCAAACAAAACATCCCTGTGGTTTGTCAGGCTTCCTACTCCCCCAACATGGCTCCGTGTGACTTTTGGCTATTTCCCAAGCTGAAAATGCTGCTGAAAGGAACCTGATTTGAGTCAAGAAAAGACATCATGCGGAATGCGACAGCCCGGCTGATCACCATTCCAAAAGATGCGTTCCAGAAGTGTTTCCAAAATGGCAGAAGCACTGGGAGAAATGTGTGCATTACCAAGGAGACTACTTTGAAGGGGATTAGGGTTTTGTACCTCCAAATCAATAAATGTATTTCTGCCGACCAAAGGTTCGATACTTTTTGAACACACCACGTATATCTTCATATTGTGGTGCTTAATTAATTAAGCACAGGGACAACTTTACCATACTGAGATTTTCTAGGATCATGAAATCTGGTAGGTTGGGTGCAAATGTTGATGTGAGAAGGAGCTCTAAATGATTTTCTTGGCATTTTCCTCAGCAGACAGGGTGATGAACTACACAAAATGCTGCACAATATGCCCAGTTTCTTGTTGAGATTTTAACAAGGTAAAGTAAAATTATCCCTGTCCTCATTAAGCAGTGCACCATGCAGACATGTGGGGAAGTGTAAATATAGTTCCACACATTCTTAACTTTATCACTAAATAGAGGGCTGCTTTACCCCAATTTAAAGAAACTTTGGTACCCATGGTGGGCCTCAAAGTTGGTCTGGAGAAGAGAAAAATATTGTATCTCTGCCAGACATCGAAGCCTGATTCCTCAGATGTCCAGCTGTAGCCTTGTCTCTATGCTGACCAGGCTGACCCTTTTCTGATTTGAACTAGGTTATCCCTCTCTACGAGTCAGTTGCAATATTGCTGTGCTGATCCACTTGGTAATTTAATTCCCCAGATGTCCAGCTGTAGCCTTGTCTCTATGCCGACCAGGCTGACCCTTTTCTGATTTGAACTAGGTTATCCCTCTTTACGAGTCAGTTGCAATATTGCTGTGCTGATCCACTTGGTAATTTAATTCCTCAGATGTCCAGCTGTAGCCTTGTCTCTATGCCAACCAGGCTGACCCATTTCTGATTTGAACTAGGTTCTCCCTTTCTACGAGTCAGTTGCAATATTGCTGTGCTGATCTACTTGGTACTTGAATTTTTAAAGAAGATTTGGAATACGGAATTAATTTCTTTATGACAGGGACTGCAGTCTTGGTTAGCTTACAATTAGTGATATAATTTATGGATTTCTATTTGGATGTAGGTGGAACAGAGCAAACCCAGTTACTTGCAAGTGAAGAGCACAGTCTGTCATCACAGTTGCTTCATTTGATGGCGACAGCTGCATCTTCAGTTGTTGGACTAGATCTTCCATCAGAAGTATCAGCTCCTAGTGCCAATAGTGCTGCTGCTCCTGTTACACCTGAGGAATCAGATGTGATGGCATCCTTTCTTGCATCAGGCTCTGGAGAGAGAGAAATCATTGCTACTGCAGCTACTACTCCACTTCCTCGCTTTACTCAAGCTTTTCAGAGTCAGCAACAGCAGCAGCATCATCATCAGCATCAACAACAGCAGCAGCAGCAGCAACAACAACAGCAGCAGCAACAGCAACAGCCGTCATCACAGCGGCAACAAGAACAGAGGTAGCAACAGTATTCTGGGTTCGGATTACAGAAAGGTGCTAAATTGCATTGCTGAGTTTAGATTTTATATTACATGCATATTATGTTTTTAAAATGTGTGCCTTAAGAACTCATATTATTTGCCATAACAATCCGTGAAAATTTGCAATCCTATACTTTCTGGTGGCAGCCAGTGTAAGGAATGGCAGTCATCCTAGTTAACCACAGAAACATTCAGGACCGAAACCTTTCCTCCATCTGATAAAAGTAAAGGATATTTCACAAAAAATCATGCACATGAAACTGATTTTATATGAAATTTCAGAATGTTTACTAAATATCTAGTGTTTTAAAGTACTCTAAAGAAAGCTGTGACATTATATGTTGTGTTTCTGAATTCTTTGGCTCACATCTTTATTTCTGCAGATATTACCAAGAGATACATTAATTTAAATCAAGTCTGTGTAATGAGAATATTAATTAACCTAAGGAAACCACAAGATTCAGCTTATATACATAGCATCTTTAAAATTAGCTCATGCAAAAATTTATAAAAATATTATGTATCAAGAAGAAACAAAGGTGATTATTGTAGTTCAGTGAATACCATTCCTGCCTTGTCTTTTGGATGTACAGAACTCAATTCCATAGTGACAAACTATCAAGATTTTTTTATGGTGTTCCTTGCCCATTAAGAGTGGAATAATACCAGAATTGCAAGTAAAATAGACCAAAACCTCTTTCTTCCATGCATTGTTTGGCTTTCAGGTTAGCTCACTATATTGTCACATTTTTATGTGTGTGACCATAGACGGTATGGATTTGTGAATGGATTTATTGACCATTTATACACACCACTCATCGCTACAAGTAATTACAGCACTGTCGCTAATTTCCACACTTTAGAAATCACCACAGCACCCTTTAAGCCTTTTCCAACCTGCTGTGTCTTCATCAGGTGTTCCCTGTGCAATGGCTTCTAAGAGTGGAGGTTCTTCAACTTCTGTTCAGGTTCTGTCCTCACGGCCTCCCATGCAGAATTCAACTCTCAACTGACAACTGACAGCTCACAACCGAACTTTCTCACTCATCAACCAGCTATGTTATATCACTTCACTCACCTGAACTGCTGACAACTCCAAGCAACAATTAACTCGTTGCTTCTAACTGTCCTGCTTACAACATCTCGGCGTGGACCACATAGAAAACACCGTTCTTCTATTGTTTCATAGGTGTCCGTTGCCACAGAAATGTGTTTACTGAACTGTTGATTAGCACCGGGTTACATAACCTTGTTCTTCTATTGTTGCATGCATGTGTGTTGTGGGCATTACATAACAGCAGCTGCTGTTTACAGAGTCACTGCTTAACAGTGGGTCTATATGCCACAATATTATAAGCTTGAATAACATGCATGATAAGAACTTTACACACATACTGATGACACAGAAATAAGACTTAATTTCATCCACTGGGAATTTACTCTGAGGGTAATATTGTGAAAGGTGAAGTGTTTTTAACACTTCTCTGGTATTGTGATTTAAGTGAGGTAAAACGCTGTTATACAACAGAATTCTTTAAAATTTAAAAACTTATGACATGGATAATTTTGATGCCGGGAGAAAGACTTGAATTTCTATAGATAAGTAGAAAACTTTTGGTGGTCATATTGCGTCTGGAGGAAAGTTTTCAAACTTGACATAATTGCATTGTTACTAGGACAATGAGGATATGAAGTTTTGAGATATCATTAATAAAAACTTGCATTCAGGATGTACTGTTATAATAATAATGGTTTATGGTTTTGAAAAAGAATTTAAATAATCTTTACTTACTATAATGTTGGTGTCATTAAAATTTATTTGTGTTCTTAATATATTAAAAATAAAAGAATGATTAGGGACAATAGTCCAGCAGTGGTTACTGCCACAGATGTTGGGCAAGAGAATTGATCATTGGTTGACTGTTATGGACAGCGTATATATTCCTTTTCCAGATTCAGTTTATGCAGTGTAATTGTATGAATGAAGAAGAATTTTTATATATAACTCCACCATGGCAATATTTGCCAAATCTATCAGCTGCAATTGAACAAGTGGCCACTTAGTAATCCAACATGGTTTCATCAAAATATGGTCTGCATATGTTTCTTTCTTGAAAATGTCTCCAAACTGAGTCCGTTCCCAGTAACCTCAAAACTACTGAGACATAATTACATTTATTATCCTTGAGAAATAATGCTGATAGGTTGTAGGGTAAAAGGAGGTATTGATACTGCCGTTAGTAGATAGATTATAAAGCCAAGAGTTTGTACTACTGCAGTGCAAGATGCGTTGAATGTTACCTTTACCATAACAGAGCTAGTGTTTTCTTTATGAATTGTTATTGTTGCTGTTTTATATAAATGAACTTATTGTACTAACTACAATTACATATCTGACTACCAGAATTCCTCATGTTTATAGAAGAAAATGTGAACGAAGTACCTTAAATAGTTAACTATTTTTATATAATAATGATTATTTTTGTAAATATACATGTGAGATATTTTGTCTTGTTATATGACCTTCAGTATGTAATACTGGCATTGTTGCTGGTCAGCAAATTGGTCTGTGTTGAATTTTGTGCATTTTGCTACGTAATGCATGTAATATGTTTGAAACCAGTTTTAAATTTGTAGCAGATGTAAAATTGTACATTTAAGTATTCACTGTTGAATATGTTGGTAGCTTCAGTTAAGATTCATGTAGAACTTGCAGGTTCATCAGTTATACCTACATCAAAATCAAAAGTAAACTGACTCATTTGAAACCAAAACAGAGACTTATCAGATATTGTTTGTTGTCTTGATTTATAAAGTTGCAGAATATCCTACTAGCAATTCTGTTACTAATATTCAGTTTTTATACATACAACTAAACAAAAATATAAAACTATGATTCTGTGTAATACACATAATTAGGCATCTGTAATATGTGACATGTCACAATTAAGCTTAACATTCTAATATGTAACAAACCTTTCAGGTAATATGACTAAAAAGAGCTGTTGTATGTTGAAAAGTAAGTAGTAAAAGCTGAGGAATGTAAATTCTTTCAATCTCCCACCCATATCCTACGAGACGATGTAGTTGCTAGTATTTTCTTATTCAGTTAGTGTGTTGTGAATTAAAATTGTTACTATCACACTGCATCTGAAAAAATATAATATTTAAGGGTCTGCATTTTTCGAACAAAAACAGTACACTGTAAGGAACATATATAACTAAAATGTTACATTATTTAAAAACTGCAGCATTCGCCCAAAACATACTTCATTATGATAGATATTTAATTAAGTTTATCTTCAATATGAAGACAACTTCATATATTGTGGTTGTTATTTGAAAAACATTATAATTTGGGAAGGAAATGCTTATAACATAAAAATGTCGTCTTTATAATAGCTACATCATTTATTAGATATACTGTTTGATCTGCTGAATATTTAATGAAACATAATGCAAGCTTGTTTAGTCTCACAAGACTCACTTTGTTTGAAAGCATTCTTTTATGTAATTTGTGTAAAGAAATGGAGTGAGCATGAGGAGGACAGCTTATGGGAGGATATAGTTTAGATGAAGTGTTTTGTCACAACGAATGACAGTGGTTACAGTACGTCTAATTATGGTCTTCTGACTCTTCTCGCCCCTGTTCTGCTATCAGAGGTAGTGATAACTTCCAAGAAAAGTAACAGAGCAGTACTCTAGAATTACTTTCCACATACTCCAGTAGTAGTATGACAATTAAGATATTGTTACATGTAGGATGGTACGTGTGACGAAATGTTGGGTTCTGTGTCAGATGATTGGATTTATTGGCACCTTGGTTACCACCTCTCTTATTTGCACTGAAATACAGGCAATACCGCACTATCGCTGATTTGCACACTTTATATTTCACCAATGCACACGCACTAGGATTCCAGTCTTCACTAGTCGTCTCCTGGCAATGGTTCTCAACGCAAGAACTCTAAAAGTCTCACTGGATCACACATTCCAAATATTACACATAAATGAAGTCTTCAAATCACACACAAAGTCTTCACATGGACTTTCCGTGGCTGTCTCCTACTGAGAACTCACTTGCAACTCTGTCGCTTGAAAACTGAAATCAGTTCTGTCTATAACTGTCGGTATATATCCTCTGCATCGACCACACAGAAAACAACCTCTACTGTTGTAGAGGAGTGTTTACCGTGACATTGTTTAGCAACGGTTGCGGCACCAACCCCATAGAAAGCCAGTCACGTGATAGCCATCTCGCCAGCCTATTGGCACACTAACTGTTGCCTAGTAATGAGCTATAAACATTCATCCTATTGTTGAGTGCGCTTATGCAACTGAAGGTTGTTTGAAGGTCACTGCCTAAAACAGTGGTGTGCAGTACTATTTTTGGCAAGGAATGTAGTGGTATCTAATAAACAAACTGTAGCAATCTAGTCACCAAAATTTATTTGAAGACCAAATCTATTCTCCGTTTTGTATTCCGTTCGATAAACCTGTAAATACTGTACTGTTCTCAAGGTGAACATTGAGTTTATGATCATATTTCTTCAAAAAGTGAATTAATTCCACATAATTACCTCGGTCAATAGAATCCATGCTTTCGCCATGACCACGGAGGGCAAGTTGCCTCTTTCCTAAATGGCAGATGATATCAATCGAGCGTTTCATTATTTCTCTATTTTCTTTCTGCTGTAGTATCATCAGGCACTTTTGATTATCATGTTGGCAGTCAGTTCAAGATTTCCCAAACATAACAAGTTGCACTGTTGAAATAATGTGAGTCTGAGAGTTCTCATGTCGTTTCAACGCTATATAAAGGTTGTTGATATCACCAAACCCAGTCTTTTTTTCATTGAGAAACAATAGGCATGGCCAACAAAACAGTTTTCCTATATTACAGCAACCAGATAGCCACTCTGTTCTAGAATACTGTTCCAAATTAAATTTCCTCACATAATTTGGTTTGTGCTTTAAATTCTGGCAACTCGCATGTCAGTCCTCTTTCTATAATTATTTTCTTTTCAGAAAAGTCCCTGCTATTAAACCCTCATTTTAAAAGGCTTTCGATTGCACAGTTGCAGTCGCGTTGTCTGCCAGCATTCATTTTAGTTGTGCCCTGTGCATGTAGTCTAATCACTCCCCTGCCACTTGTACCACAATATCACACGTGCTTCCCTTAAACGCGGATAGCTTCTTTCTGATGTGTCAAAATACGATCACAAATACAATCTTACGCCATCTAAATATGCACTTACAGTATTTTAATAAAACTTAATGTTACCTGTAACACCCAACAAGACTGAAATCACACATAAACAGTTAATTTTAACATAACCATCAAAAGAACACAATCTTTCACTTCCATGTCACACGCCTAGAGCCAGCAACCCAAAACATGCTTCCCTTGACGACTTTGGATTAGACGAATTCGTACGAAGATTAACGAAAGGAAACTTGGTCTGGCCCACCAAGCAGGGGAAGGGAGGAGGAGAAGGCATGTGGCCATGAACAGGAACACCCACTAAAATGTTAAGATGACAATATTCACATCCTTATTATTCAAATTGAATTATTTATATTTGACTTCTTTTCTTTTGGTTTCTTAACTACAGAAGCAGTGCTTTCCTTACTTCCATGCACAGCACGCCACTGGCCTAGAAACACTCTGGCCATCCACATTACAATATTTATAGAGCAGCAACAAATTTTTTAGTATCCATTCAGCTGTGCTGATTGAGATATGGAGGTGGATGCATGAATATTAATTTTACTTTATTTGACAAATGTTTCATGCTCTGTGCATTTTATTTCTATGTCATGTTCTTTTAAACTGTGACCATAAAATACTGAAATATTTTTTATGGTTATTTTTATTTTCCTCTGTATTCACTAATTCATTAGATAAGGTAAAAAGTAAAGGTAAAACTATCCCTGTAACAGGCCATGGAGGCCCATAGGGTTGTGAGACATTGAGGGTCCCACATTTTCTAGACAATCGGCTCGCAGATGGCGGTAAGGTTGTCAGCCTTAGGTGCAGGCCGCCCTTTACCCCCCCAGGATGATACCTGGTTATCATTTCTGTTAGAGGCTGAGTCAACCCCAGGGCTTTGTATAAAAGCAACAAATTTATTATGTAACACAGTAGTACATTAAAAATGCTTTAAATTGGTGTTTGTGTTGTTATGTTTGTTGAAATTAATAGGTGGTTTTGCATTGTCTTAGGATGCATATAGAAGTCAAATTGTCATAAGCCAAGCAAGACAAGATAAGAACAGATATAATGGAGTATGTACCAGTTTTGAGTACTCGAATTTGAGGACAGTCTTATATAGAAATTGATAAAACCCACTGTTAAGGAAGTCTTTGTGTGTTTTGTATGTATCTGTTGTCTTTATGTGCAACTATAGATATCACAGTCAGTGTTGTGCTTCATCTGGTCTTTCTTTGTTTATTTCTATTCATCCTGGAATTAATTTGTGAATTACGATCATTTGATACTTTGCTCCAAAAACTTAAATAAAAGTTAGAAGGTATGCCTAAATGACTGTCCTTTATGCTGGTATGCACTCATCCATCTTTCAGTAAATTGAGGGGTAGATGACTTGTGATGGTATCGCTGTAAAACTCATTCTGTGCATTGAAACATTTGCATTTTTAATCTTGGATTGTAATAATATGAAGGAATCCTTTTCCTATATTAATACTTTAATCAGTAATTAAATGTAACATTAATGCAAATTACCATGTAAGAAATACAGTGCAGCCATCATTTAATGTTTCTTGTTCTGTAGTTTTTATCTTATTTGATATTCATTTTGCGTGATTTCAGCCCAGTTATCTCAGCATTTAATTTCCTTAGTTTAGTGTTCAGATCCATTGTTCCTGAGAAATGTTAGATGTTCGCTGTTTCACTGTAATACTTGCATCCTTCTCAACTTGAACATCAGTACCATTTTTAAAACTCAACCTTCAACACTGTAGGTGTACTAGTTGCATTGAGAATTCTTTTATAAATAACATTTGTGCTGTGCCCAACTTTGCTTACCTGTTCTCTTTGTTAACTGGCATATTTTTCTTACTGTGTCAGCATGCTGTTTGCATCAAGTATTCTGTTACTCATTGTAGTTGAGGGGACTGGTATTACATATTGATGGTCATGAAAACATCTTTGACATTCTTCATATATAAGTGGCCTGAATCACTTTCTGAAATTCTATAAAGTTTATATTTTGTTATTTGCATTGATGGTTTAAAGAAAGGAAAGCAGTCAATAGTACAAGGGAGAGTCAGTAAATAGGTCACAAATGGATATAAAACATAAAACTTGTGATATTCAAACCTAGAAAAAACATTAATATCTCAACATATCCTCCACCAAGACTGATATACTTGTCCCATCACTTTACGAGGGCATCGAAATCCCCAGCATAGAAGTCTTTCAACTGTTTCAGCAGCCACTTCTGCACCTTCATTTCAACCTCTTCGGCACCAGTGAAACATTTACTACCAAGCTTGCTTTTTAGCATATGAAATAGATGGAAGACAGTAGGGGCCAAGTCCAGGCAGTAAGGCAGGTGTTCAGGATGTTCCCACTGTACTTGAATTCTCTTGTGGGTTGCTCAGGCTGTATGGGCTCTGGCATTGTCATGATGAAGCAGTATGCCACTTGTCAGTTAGCCTAGATGTTTTCTGTGAATTACATTATGAAGCTTCAATAAATTTCATGGTACAACGCAGGATGCACATTTTCACTACGCTTCTGAAAATGGGCTGAGACTACTCCCTGAGAATCCCAAAACACAGTAAACATAACCTTCCCGGCTAATGGCAAAACCTTAAACTTTTTGGTTGAAGTGAACTGAAATGTTTCCATTCCATTGAAGCACACTTTGATTAGGTTTGGTAGCGATTCACCCATGATTCGTCCCCAGTAAAAATCCTGTTAAACATATATTCTCGTTCATCTGCATACCATAGAAGATGTTCATGGACAGACCCATTGGGCTCATTTTTAGCAATCCTCAAGTTCTCTGGGCACCCATCGTGTGCACACTTTCCAAAACTTCAGTGATCATGCATTACACTGTATGCTAAACCATGGAAACACCCTAATGCAGTTGCTACACTGTCTGTTGTTACCCTCCTGTCAGCTTGAATTAACTCTTCCATCTGCTGCACAATTGCTTCTGTTGCAATCTCCACAGGGCATGGTTGGGCATTATCTGATACTTTTGAATATCCTTCAGAGAATTTCTTGACCCAGTTGTGAGCTACTTTATCTGACACTTCCAAGCATAATCAGGAAACATTTCTTTATAAATATTCTTTTTATTGAGTCCTTTTGCCCACAAAAAAAAAATATGACAGAACTCTGCTCTTTGGTAGTACACCTTCATGCGCAGTCACCATTTTGACTACTGAAGCAAGCCTCTGAACATGTGCATGCACATCTGCTACCTAGTCTGTCATAAAGCTGGACTGTGTTTCTACCAAGTGATATACATATAAAACCTATTATGTCCATTACAGCTGTTTTACTTACATTTGTGACATATTTACTGACACCTTCATAGTTTATTGGTGGAACATGAATTCGTCTTCTAGTCCTGTGTACTAGACAGTATCACAGTTTGTTGTTCTTCAAAGTTTTTGTTAAGTTGATGTTTCATAAATGTGTGACAGGCATGGGAAAGTTTTCATAAATTTCACGTATTGACTTTAATCTTTGGGCAAAATTTGACCAAGTACATTGGTGTCAGAGAAGGAAGATTTACACTTATGAAAAGGAAACGTAGTTGTAGACGCATCACTGATATAGTATAAATGTAATGTCATTCCAAATAGAATTATTTTTAGGTTATCTTATATGGAAAATTTTAAGAGGTCTAAGAGATACATGTTTTTGTTTATAACTTATATACATAGATATCAGGTACATAAATTGAATTTTGGAAATTTGAATGGATATGTGCAAATTTGTAGCAGGGATGGATGTTTAACACTCGTAAACTTAATGTTGCTTTTATTCAAAGTAGCTGAAATAAGCACATTATATAATTATACATAATAATTTTTAAGTAGTATGGGTTAGAGAAACTCATCAGAAAGAATAATGGTGTTCATAATCACCAAGTAAAACTAGCTGTGCAACAGGAGTAACTTGTTATTTATTTAAAATATTATAAAATTTAATTGGAAGGGGGTTTGTGCACCAAAAATGCCTAAAACGTAAGTTAATATTTTCTCCATTCTAGTGCATGTGTAATGTTATATGAGGCTTAAACAGCTGTTACTGACCACAAGCAGCCTTATTAAAGAATGCCATATGGTGGCTGACATTCTGTCTGTATTCCATCTGATAGCTACGTGAGGCTACATGTTGACCTTCTTTAGACCATTTTGTAATATCTTTGGGACCATGTCTGTTCTTCAAGAAGATTAAACAAATTTCAGTTCATGTGCAATTATTACAGATGATGGTATCCTATTGCTAGTGATATTGCCTTGTATTACTAGTGAACTTACTATGTGCCATGAATATATTAAATGACTATTAATATCATGAAGACTTCTGTCTTAGTAAACTGTTGAAAAATTGTTACATTAAACCAGCATCAAACTCACTGCCAATTAGTGTAAGGTTTGTACTATAGAAACTGTTTATAAAGTATGGCTGGTTAAATGGAAAATCAGATAAGCAAGGCATTGAACCAGACCTTATTTATAAGTAATGACATAGTAATTTATAGCTGCATTCATAGAATACCAATAATTTAAGTTTATTATTAACCTGCTCTACTGGAATCAAATTCATTGAATGTGAGTATCTGTTAGTAGATCTAGGAATGTGATTATGTCTCTCCTACTGTTGAATCTTATTGCCGCCACATTAAGTGGTCTACATTTGTTTTGTTTATTCTTTGTACTTCACATTGTAATTTGTGGAAGTTGTAATTTACAGGAAGACATTTGCATAACCTAGCTTTTAAATCTCTTATGCATGAATTGAATTCCATTGGAGTGAACAATATTGAATTGTATTTTGCTTATAGCAGATCTAAACCAATAGCAACGACAAAGCTGTGCTCTGTACCTAACTCACCTAACCATCAAGTACAGTGCTGTGATCAAAAAAATATTCATGATATGCTGCAGCACTATTGTAATATGAACCTAAAATCTCAGAGTTTTTCTAATTCTCATTCATGTTTCATATACTTGTATATTCTGTGATATGTTTATGTTTGTACAGGAAATATT